CTTTATGTATGTATGTGGCTCTATTCAATCAATATAGCAATTCGCTCTAACGTCGCTGTAAAACCTGCTACCAACCAATGGCCGTGTTCCTTCGTCTCTTGGCATAGCCATTTCCTTGCGACGTTATCAGCTGCTTCCTTTGGGCACCCCATGGGCAGGCCGCGTGTTGTTCGCTCTGAAGAGGAAGAGCGCGCCTACAAGGATCGTCGTCGCGTTCAACAGTGCAAATCTGTGCGAAAGCGTCGAGCAGCCGAACGCGCAGCGACCCGACGGGGTGCAGACGATGGTGTGGGTCCATCGGCTTCGATTGATCCTCCACTCACTGACAAAGAACGTGCCCGTCTAGAGCATCAGCGGCAACAGAAGCGGGAGTGTGAACGTCGTCGCCGGGCAAAAAGGACCGACGAAGATCGGGCCGCCGATGCCAAGCGCAAACGCATTGCCCGTCGTCGTCGTAGAGATAACAGCTTCGCGGGTCCTCCCTCTTCACGTAAAGTGGATAGGCTCAGAGGTCGGCATTTTAGGTCGCCCTCACTCACCCTCACAGCCACACTCACCTAAGCCCCTCACTCACCCTCACCCTCACAGCTTCACTCACCTTCAGCCCCTCACTCACCCTCACAGTCACACTCACCTTCAGCCCTTCACTCACCCTCACTGAACCTCACAGCCCCCACGCACTCACCACCCTCACGGCCCTCATGCCCCTCACGGCCCTCACTCACTCATGGCCCTCACGAAACTCACCGCCCTCACGCCACTCACCGCCCTCACGGCCCTCATCGCCCTCACCGCCCTCACGCACTCATAGCCCTCACACCCCTCACCGCCCTCACCGCCCTCACGCCACTCACCGCCCTCACGCCACTCACCGCCCTCACGCCACTCACCGCCCTTGCGGCCCTCACACCCCTCACGCCCCTCACGCACTGATGGCCCTCACGCCACTCAGGCCAGCTTCAGATGGGGCAATTTCGCCCAGAAACTTTACGTCGCAACACCAGCAACACGGGCCGCCCGCGATCATACGCAGCAACCAATTGCTGCAATTTGCCATCGTCATCATAAATTTTTATTTTTCTTGCACTATTTAGACACAATTACACATTATAAACGTGTTTTTATGCATTTAAATCTCGTCAAGAATACTAATGCACCTTTCTGAAACAGTTTATTTCCAAAAAACGATCGATTTCAAACCAGAACCAAGTCTTTCGGTGTCATCATCACCGGCACGAGGTATCATGTGAAACTTTTGCGTCCCTGATTGGATGCAGCTGCTTCAAACGTATTCGATTTGCTTCGAGTTGCTTGCCTATTTCGAGCCGGACCCGATCTCAGCAATTCGTTTCGATCTAGGGAAAGCTAGAGAACAACCAGTCATTAACACCAAAATTGCTGAGAAAGATGCTCGATCTGAAGGGGGCCTCACGCACTCACCGCCCTCACGCACTCATGGCCCTCACACACCTCATGCACTCACCACCCTCACGGCCCTCACGCCTCTCATGCCACTCACTGCCCTCACGCACTCATGGCCCTCACACCCCTCACGGCCTTCACCGCCCTCACGGCCCTCACCACCCTCACGGCCCTCACTCACCCTCATACTCATGAATTTTCCTGGTTCAGAAACTCACTCACCCTCACCTCACCTGTGAGGATGAGGGTGAGTGAGGGCCCTCATGAGTGAGGTTTGCCGAGGTATGGATAGGCTCTGCGATATTTTTTTTTTTGCTGCTAGGATTTATGAGCTTCCTTTTCCTTTGTTTGACACTTTTCTTTTGCCATTATATACCCTTTCCGAAATTCAGTGCCGTCTGGTGGTTTGTAAAGCAGTTTAGGTTTTGCCATATCAATGGCAGAAATGAACTTGTATCAGCACCGTCACTTTCGCTAGTCAACGGCACGCGAGGAATTGTTCAGTGTGAGTTCTTTCTCGATCACTTTCATTTCAATGGTGACCAAGAACCTGCATTCAGAACAAAGCTGCTACCCACTCAGATGCCTCGAGAAGTTTCTATACACCAAAGTGCTTTAAAGCCGATTGTGTGCCGTCCACAGATTGACTGAATCTAGTTATTAGAAATAAACGCTTACGTAGCTCTTGTGTTCCATTCCTACTTCGCGTTGTGCTGACCCCCCAAATGTACAGGCCTCGCAAGATCCGCTTAGGAGCATCTTCAACGTCTTCCTTTATCAGTCCCTAGAAGGCCGCCATTGGTATGGCACAGATGCCGTTCAACAGATGATGATAGTGATCAAAGTGGCCAGACTGAATTTCGGAAAGGGTCTATTGCTTTGACCTTTTTTTTTTTTTTTCGTTTCTTTATTTGCTGCTTGAAATTATGAGCTTTTTTGTTGCTTGCTTAACTTTTTTTTTATGGATCAATGTTTTTTTGTTTTTTTTTATGATTCTTGCCTTTCCGTTTTTCTTTCATTTTTTTTTTTTTTATTATTTTTGTGTTTTGCTTATGCTTAGGATTCTGTGTTTTCGGAGTTTAGTCTTCGTGAAATTCGGAGGGTATTTTTCGGAGTTTATTTTTCGCTGGGGATTCGGGGTTTATTGGGTTTTATTTTTGTTATATTCTCAATTCTTTGAAATCTATGTTTATTTTACTGCGTAAAATTTAAAAAAAAAAAGTAAAATAAAAAAAATGATAGTAAGGTTCGGGTACCATCACCCGTTGTCCCAAATGAACCTCAACATGCTAAAAGGCAAACCCCTTTTGTCAGTAGTTCTAGATTTCAAATGAAACAAACTGTAGTGGAATCTCCTCGGGGCCACTGACCTTGTGCTCTTCTAAAGTTTAATTCTAAAACTCTCTTTGTTTGTTTTTTTGCTGTTTATTTTGTTGCTGTGACCTCGAAATTCAGTTTTCTGATGAATCCGAATTGATAGAAAATTTACCGGCGAGTATTTTTCGGATTTATCCGAAAACACGGAACCCTACTCATGTTGTGTGGAGGTCCCGGCCAGGTGAGCGTGTAAAGCACAATCCAAACCAACGCGTCCTTGCGCGTGCGTACGACGTGCGCTCCCCGGAAATTGCGTATTTCGTGACGTTTTTGCTGTTTCCGGTGCACTTTCTGAGTCTCAACCATGCGCGTTGGTTAGGACGGTGTGGTGCGGCTTCGGGCAAGCGGAGAGCATCTGCACTAGACGGCGAAGAAACGCGGAGCCGGAATTAGTGCCCTCCACCGATTGGCTGGGTGAGCAGCACCCTATTGCATCACAGCGCGTTTCCGTGCACCTTCAGAAAAATTTGCAATAATCCAACTTTATTACACGCGTCCCGAAGAAGCAAGGAATCAGCGCAATGTCACGAAATACGCAATTTCTGGGATATGCACGGCCTATGCGCGCACAAAAGCGCGTTGGGGGTTGGATCGTGCCTGAGCTCTGCTGTGTTTGTGGTCTCCGCCAACTATGCTGTACTGTATTTAGCAGCTCTTGGATTCTCTATTTGGTGAGCTCCCGTTAGTCGCGACCTTTAGTATTAGCAGACACGCCAGGGAATGTCAACTTGAGCTTAATTGAATATATTTTGTATATCAAATTATTGATGTATCGAACTATTCTACGATCCCCTTTGAATTTGATATATCCGGGTTCGACTGCAAGTTGATTCTGTTAAACAGTTTGTCAGCGAGAGTAAAACGTCCACAGTCGAACCTCGTTCGAAGTCCGTCGGACGGCGAAAAATGTGCAAATTAAGCGGATTTGCGAATTATCCAAAAACAAAAGAAAACAACAAAAAATTGTGCTCGAAGCCCTAAGTTTTGAAGGAAGCATTTTGTTCAAAATAAGTAGTCGAAACGACAGAACATCACCCAAAGTAGTTGGCGATATGGGACTCCCGGGTTCTATAATTAGCGGCGCTGACCGTCATTTTTTTTAAGAAGGCTAACTAGGTGCAGCATCACAGAATCGCCGTCGTTACATTCCACAAAGCTACAGACGACATTCAGCAACTGTATAACGTTCCCTAGGCAGCTCATCGTCGTTCTTTAATCTGTGCTGTCACACTCGGCGATTTTGCTCTCAAGGTTCGCGTAGCAGGTTTACCCGTTTTTTTCCATGCTTAAGTAGTCTGTGAATATCATGCCGACCGACTCACCTCGGTGCCCTTAGAGGGACACTGACAGGGTAATTATGCTTGCCAAGGCTTTTATTTGTACATGACATATAAGACCCCAACTACCCAGAAAACAGTTCGCGGCTCGAAATTCGTGTTCTTGCCGCCCGAAAACGACCGATCGAGAACTAGCCGGTTTGAGTCACGCTCACTCTCTTCTCTGTGCGGAGTGCTCAAATTATCCGGTCATATTTTCGTGGGAAGTCACGGGACCGTGGAAATTCTGCGAATTTTCCGGGGTTCCGAATAAACAGTGATAGATTTATTGAGATTTTACTGCAGTATGTTGCCACTTTGCTTTATTTAATATTCGCCGCTGTTTCTGAAAATAACTGACACGCCCTTAATTGCCGTTGGGGAAATGTGTACCAGTTGGAAATATGGGAAACTATGGGGATATAGCGGCATCATGAAAGACTGTGTTCAAAAGTCACTTTGAAAGTTCATTGTATTTATGGTAGTTCACTTCAAGTATGTTGAGCTCTGTGTACTTGCTACCTTACTTAAAGGGATACTACAACGAAATTTTGGCGCCTATTTTATGGTCTATATGTGTTCAAAGTAGCAGTATCACATCGAACACACCAATATCTTGTTAAAAAAGTCACGAAAACGAATTTTAGAACGAATTAAACGATTCCCAAACAGCACCTGGTGTTTGTCGCGAACGCCTCGTTTGGAATGTCCGTCTAGGTACATTGCCGGGAAGTGACCTAGGTCGTCTCACGGGTTGTCTCCTGGAAGAACGGAGCAGCGCCGCTCTGCGGAAGTACGGCTCACTACGTCTCTTCTCTAGTTCTGAACGCAATTATCAAGCCTTCGCTGCCTGCTCTGCCGCTCTGCCTTCACCCCTTCGCCATTTTCCCGACGATGGCGACGGTGGACTCGTTGCATTGAGTTGTGGTGGCCCGATCGCTTGCGTACCTCGGTCTCTAGAACGCTTAGATCATCCTGTCGCGTTCTAATGCCGAGATGGTGCGGCACTGTGCGGTAGAGGACTGCGGCAACCTCCTGATTCGGTGCGGAAAACCTATTCACCAGTTCCCAAAGGACGAACAACTTCGTGCGCTTTGGATCCGGCTCGCACGACCGTCCTCCCCGGCGTGGCTTCCAACTACGAGTGATCGCTTGTGTTCCTATCACTTTCGTGATGAGGACTACGTGCGAAGCCCCAGGGTGATGGAGTCCTTGGGCTTCCCGGTGAGGAACGTACAACTCAAACCAGGAGTTTTGCCCCGTTTATTTTCAAAGAAGCGGAGATCTGGCGAGCGCAGCGAACCCCTTGACAAGCGACGCAGAGTGGTAAGGGAGCATGTTGTCTGTCGAGTATTTCCGAGTTCTGCAATGAAAGCCGAACCGCATGTAAGCGATTTAGCGAGTGACGAGACGAGCGACGGCGTCGAGAGTCTGCGACGAGCGACGGAGATTTCTCACTGTCGCCAGTCGCATCGCTCGGTTCTTAGATTACTGGAAAGAGTAAAGCTATACGCACTACGTCGTGCACCTTGACTGGAAATGGCCCTGCGCACTACGCGAAGCTCGTATCAGCGGCGAGTTTCCAAAGAGGTGGCGTAGCATGATAGTAAGGTGTCTGCTTTATACGCAGCGGTCCGCGGTTCGATCCCCAATGAGGGCGACGTTTCCTTAGTTTTTTTTTTTTTTTTTATCACTATTTTTTTTTTTGTAGGGCATTTACGATGTTTAAGACATTTCTTTACTACAAATAACACTGAAAAAAAAAAAAAAAAGATAAGGATTGATATTTACGAAATTTTGCAGAACTGAATGGTATGGGACTCGCTTTCCGGAGGTGCAGGAGGGGACAGCGGGGCTTGGGTTGCCGGCTGGACGCCGCGAAGCGGCGTGTACAGGTTAAGTTTTGCAATTAGCAGCCGCACAGTGTCGCCGCGAAGCGGCTTGAACGCAGGCAAGGGGGGTAAGGTTCAATTAAACACACGCCGTCCGAAAAGGGTGACCCAAATTGCATGATGGCATCAGCTCTCTGCGTAGTGTTTATAGCCATTTCCGATCGAGGTGCACGACATAGTGCGTATAGCTTTATTCTTCTAGAAAACGTCGCTCACCGTCCTGGCCACTTGCCCCCGTCGCTTTCATGCGGTTTGCCTCCTCGCGCGACCGACCGAGCAACAGCGAAGCGGGTTGCCGTTGCTTGTCTCGTCACTTGCCAAGTCGCTTTCATGCGGTTTATGCTTGTCTGTTTCATCCAGCATGTGAGCGATTTTCCAGGAGACCTGTCGCTCAGTTCGTCACTCGCCGAGGCAAATCGCACGCAGCGACCTCCAGGCGATGACCAAAGTGTTCAGGGAATTTAGAACCGAACACTGCGACAGGCGACAGCGACCAGCGATAGCCTAGCTCATCGCTCGCCAAATCGCTTTCATGCGGTTCAGCCGTGGCCGATCGTGCTTTCTTTTTCAAGCCGTTCCGCTCATCATCGAAGAGCTTTGGCAAGGTGGGTTAGAGCGCCGGATCGAACGCACGCACTGCAGCGATTCAAGGATTTAGGGTTCGACCCCTACCTTACCAGTCTTAACTTGGATAAACATTGTGCTGGCATGCGGTAGTATATCAGTAGTATGTGACGTCCCTTCAAAACCTCGGGGTAGCGGTAGTACTGCACTGGCTGGATTTCCTACCTACAATGTAGAGCGTATCTGCAACGACAACCATCCACCTCTCTAAATTTCCATGCACTTTATTTTTCTTAATGGCCAGTAAATCATATGCTATTTTCCCCTGAGCATCAGGCACCTCTGCGTGATTCCACCAACTTCCTGGTCGGAGGTGCAGACACATGTTGGGAGCCTACAAACGAGCTAGAAGAAACAGCCGTTAGAACAGGTAAGGTTATTGACGTAACTTGAACGTCTTTTAACGTAACAATGTGTGGGCTGTGAGTGCTGCACCAGTGGGCCCATACTCCTGGGCCAAAAGCAATAACACCCCCTTAACATTCTTCCGTCTTCTCTCTTGCATCTCTCCAGTGACTCCAAGTGTGTTGGCATGTCGGCTGGTTGCACCTGCGGCCTCCCCCACTGCAATAACGCGGACAGACAGTGCCAGCACCTTTACAGGTATGCAGGCACTCCAATGGGACCTATACTGCGTGGTGTCACCTGCTTCAAGCGGAACTGCCAGACGCATCCACACAGTGCTAATGTTGCTCTAAGGCTTTTTGTGTCTCGATCATGCACTTCTATGCTGATTCATGTCTGTTCATAGGCGCCCCTGGAGCGTTGGGTTGCCCACCTGCGGCCCCGCCGACCGCTCCGACACGAACAGATGGAGCCCGCACCCCGACAGGTATGAAGGCACTCCGATGGGACCTATACTGCGTGGTGTCACCTGCTTCAAGCGGAACTGCCAGACGCATCCACACAGTGCTAATGTTGCTCTAAGGTTTTTTGTGTCTCGATCATGCACTTCTATGCTGATTCATGTCTGTTCATAGGCACCCCTGGAGCGTTGGGTTGCCCACCTGCGGCCTCGCCGACCGCTCCGACACGAACAGATGGAGCCCGCACCCCGACAGGTACGAAGGCACTCCGATGGGACCTATACTGCGTGGTGTCACCTGCTTCAAGCGGAACCGCCAGACGCATCCACACAGTGCTAATGTTGCTCTAAGGTTTTTGTGTCTCGATCATGCACTTCTATGCTGATTCATGTCTGTTCATAGGCACCCCTGGAGCGTTGGGTTGCCCACCTGCGGCCTCGCCGACCGCTTCGACACGAACAGATGGAGCCCGCACCCCAACAGGTATGAAGGCACTCCGATGGGACCTATACTGCGTGGTGTCACCTGCTTCAAGCGGAACTGCCAGACGCATCCACACAGTGCTAATGTTGCTCTAAGGTTTTTTGTGTCTCGATCATGCACATCTATGCTGATTCATGTCTGTTCATAGGCGCCCCTGGAGCGTTGGGTTGCCCACCTGCGGCCTCGCCGACCGCTCCGACACGAACAGATGGAGCCCGCACCCCGACAGGTATGAAGGCACTCCGATGGGACCTATACTGCGTGGTGTCACCTGCTTCAAGCGGAACTGCCAGACGCATCCACACAGTGCTAATGTTGCTCTAAGGTTTTTGTGTCTCGATCATGCACTTCTATGCTGATTCATGTCTGTTCATAGGCGCCCCTGGAGCGTTGGGTTGCCCACCTGCGGCCTCGCCGACTGCTCCGACACGAACAGATGGAGCCCGCACCCCGACAGGTATGAAGGCACTCCGATGGGACCTATACTGCGTGGTGTCACCTGCTTCAAGCGGAACTGCCAGACGCATCCACACAGTGCTAATGTTGCTCTAAGGTTTTTTGTGTCTCGATCATGCACTTCTATGCTGATTCATGTCTGTTCATAGGCGCCCCTCGAGCGTTGGGTTCCAGGCTGCCTCTACCAGCGGCCTCACCCACTGCTTTGACGCGGACGAATGGAGCCTGCACCCCGACAGGTATGCAGGCACTCCGATAGGACCTATACTGCGTGGTGTCACCTGCTTCAAGCGGAACTGCGAGACGCATCTACACAGTGCAAATGTTGCTCTAAGGTTTTTTGTGTCTCGATCATGCACTTCTATGCTGATTCATGTCTGTTCATAGGCGCCCCTCGAGCGTTGGGTTCCAGGCTGCCTCTACCAGCGGCCTCACCCACTGCTTTGACGCGGACGAATGGAGCCTGCACCCCGACAGGTATGCAGGCACTCCGATGGGACCTATACTGCGTGGTGTCACCTGCTTCAAGCGGAACTGCCAGACGCATCCACACAGTGCTAATGTTGCTCTAAGGTTTTTTGTGTCTCGATCATGCACTTCTATGCTGATTCATGTCTGTTCATAGGCACCCCTGGAGCGTTGGGTTGCCCACCTGCGGCCTCGCCGACCGCTCCGAGACGAACAGATGGAGCCCGCACCCCCACAGGTATGAAGGCACTCCGATGGGACCTATACTGCGTGGTGTCACCTGCTTCAAGCGGAACTGCCAGACGCATCCACACAGTGCTAATGTTGCTCTAAGGTTTTTTGTGTCTCGATCAGGCACTTCTATGCTGATTCATGTCTGTTCATAGGCGCCCCTGGAGCGTTGGGTTGCCCACCTGCGGCCTCGCCGACTGCTCCGACACGAACAGATGGAGCCCGCACCCCGACAGGTAGGAAGGCACTCCGATGGGACCTATACTGCGTGGTGTCACCTGCTTCAAGCGGAACTGCCAGACGCATCCACACAGTGCTAATGTTGCTCTAAGGTTTTTTGTGTCTCGATCATGCACTTCTATGCTGATTCATGTCTGTTCATAGGCGCCCCTCGAGCGTTGGGTTCCAGGCTGCCTCTACCAGCGGCCTCACCCACTGCTTTGACGCGGACGAATGGAGCCTGCACCCCGACAGGTATGCAGGCACTCCGATGGGACCTATACTGCGTGGTGTCACCTGCTTCAAGCGGAACTGCCAGACGCATCCACACAGTGCTAATGTTGCTCTAAGGTTTTTTGTGTCTCGATCATGCACTTCTATGCTGATTCATGTCTGTTCATAGGCGCCCCTGGAGCGTTGGGTTGCCCACCTGCGGCCTCGCCGACCGCTCCGACACGAACAGATGGAGCCCGCACCCCGACAGGTATGAAGGCACTCCGATGGGACCTATACTGCGTGGTGTCACCTGCTTCAAGCGGAACTGCCAGACGCATCCACACAGTGCTAATGTTGCTCTAAGGTTTTTTGTGTCTCGATCATGCACTTCTATGCTGATTCATGTCTGTTCATAGGCGCCCCTCGAGCGTTGGGTTCCAGGCTGCCTCTACCAGCGGCCTCACCCACTGCTTTGACGCGGACGAATGGAGCCTGCACCCCGACAGGTATGCAGGCACTCCGATGGGACCTATGCTGCGTGGTGTCACCTGCTTCAAGCGGAACTGCCAGACGCATCTACACAGTGCTAATGTTGCTCTAAGGTTTTTTGTGTCTCGATCATGCACTTCTGTGCTGATTCATGTCTGTTCATAGGCGCCCCTGGAGCGTTGGGTTCCAGGCTGCCTCTACCAGCGGCCTCACCCACTGCTTTGACGCGGACGAATGGAGCCTGCACCCCGACAGGTATGAAGGCACTCCGATGGGACCTATACTGCGTGGTGTCACCTGCTTCAAGCGGAACTGCCAGACGCATCCACACAGTGCTAATGTTGCTCTAAGGTTTTTTGTGTCTCGATCATGCACTTCTATGCTGATTCATGTCTGTTCATAGGCGCCCCTGGAGCGTTGGGTTGCCCACCTGCGGCCTCGCCGACCGCTCCGACACGAACAGATGGAGCCCGCACCCCGACAGGTATGAAGGCACTCCGATGGGACCTATACTGCGTGGTGTCACCTGCTTCAAGCGGAACTGCCAGACGCATCCACACAGTGCTAATGTTGCTCTAAGGTTTTTTGTGTCTCGATCATGCACTTCTATGCTGATTCATGTCTGTTCATAGGCGCCCCTCGAGCGTTGGGTTCCAGGCTGGCTCTACCAGCGGCCTCACCCACTGCTTTGACGCTGACGAATGGAGCCTGCACCCCGACAGGTATGCAGGTGCTTCAAGAAAAAAAAAAAATTGGGTTGTGTGTATGTTTATAAAGTCTAGAACTTGGTCTACCTCAACGGGCGACTTGTCTCCCAGCTGTAGGTGAGAAATTTACCCAGTGCAGTACAGCCACTAGCCTGGGGTCCTTAACGAACATCACGCAGTAGTGATGCACGACCGCACGCTGGTACGATGCTCATTCAGATCAAAACAGGCAGGGGTGGGGATAAAACCCAGCATCTTGGGTTCTGCAGCGCGAGCTTTCGCTCCACGTGCTCTGAGCTGGTGTGCGCTAGCCCACTCGGCCACCGATCCCCCCTCAGGTGCTCCAAGCGGGACCTATACTTCGTAGTGTCACCTGCTTCAAGCAGAACCACCAGACGCATGTACACAGTGCTTGTGTTGCTTCTAAAGTTTTCTTGTCGCTCAATCATGCACCTTTACGCTGATTGATATATGTCCATAGGTACGTTTGGTGCGTTGGTTTCCATTCTGCGTCCACCTGTGGCCTCCCCCACCTCTCTGATATGGACTGACGACGCCCGCACCCAGACAGGTATGCAAGCACACCGAAGGGGGACTATACTCTTTTGCGTCACCTGTATCGAGCAAAACCGTCAAAGGCCTCTTCATATTGGCAAAGTGATTGTCACGTTTGACATCTACACAGCGCTTTTGTTGCTACAAAGGTTCCTTTGTTTCTCAATCATTGACTATTTCTGCTTTTCGTTTACTTTACAGCAGCCTTGAGAGCAATGACTGCTGCTAGACATCCTGTGTTTTCAGCATCGTCACGTTACGAGACACGGTCCGTGATGACGCAGACAACAGGCTTCGGCAGAAACGCAGGTACGGTCATTCATGTAAACTAAATATACTGACACGAGAATCATTTTAATTCTGTTCGAATTCTACTTGAGCGAGTTAAACTGAGAAGGAGGTGGTGTCAGATATATCTCGATGTTTGAGCTGTGCAGATGTTTGGTATTTGTTAAAGAGAGCTTGGTGTAGTTAGCACACAGAGTTTAAGTCAAAAACCCATTCATTATATTTAAATGGAGCACATTTCTAATGCCTTAGATTTTTTGCTAGGTACACAAGCATGTATACCATCGAGGAACAAGAAAGTGCAGACGGAGCTTTCTGGAATTATGCCGCAGACCTCTTCCTCGTCAAACTGTGGTGATCCAGAACAGAGGTATGCAAAGGTCTTGGGCCTACAATGCCTAGAGCATCTGAACGCCATCTGGCAACAACCTCTCCACCTATTTCTGTGTTAGTTTTAGGAGTTCCCTGAGGCCCTGCAACTCCCAGACATCACTTTGTGACCCCCCTTTTGTGCAGTTCTGATTCAGAAGACCTGGGTGTATCAGGGAAGCAGCCACTGGAAAGAGATGACCCTACGTATTGTCCACCAGAGGACAGCTCTGTTAGGTCCGTATGCAGTCGTGTAAGAATTTATGAGATCATCTATCATGCTTAGACAGTTTGTTGAGATGATGTTGGTTTTTGTGTCGCAGGCTTGAGAGGGAAACACCATCTTTGGTAAAGGAGAGGAAATTCATTGTATTCGAGTCTTGCCTTGACCTTCTCCTGGGGAAGTGCCAAGTATGTGCTGCTCCCCTGATCCACGTGGACAAGAGTGTCGTTGGCTGCAGCCTGCAAGTCTACTCAATTTGTCGGAGTGGACACGTGAATGACTGGTGCAGCCAGCCCATCATCAAGCGGAAGCCGGTGGGGAGTATCCTAATGGCTGCGGCAATCCTGTTCAGTGGCAGCTGCGTAAAGAAGACACTCAGAACACTCACCAGCATGGGGATTGTCTGTTTCTCCTATGGCACCTTCTTCAACATCCAGAAGGCCTTTCTCCTGCCCTCAATCGAAAAGGTACTCTGAAGTTAAAAACTGACAGAAACCCCCCCCCCCCATGTTTTCCCTGTGCTCTTTGCTCCTCGTGACCACAATAAAGTGGGCCTAGAAACTGTTTACTACAGAAACGAGTGGTTTCGTTCCTGGTTTGGAAAGGAGTAACCCATGGCTGAAATTCCTTCTTTCTGCTCGTGTGTTGGTCTTGTAGGCCAAATTTGGTCCTCGAACCATTAAAACACATTCATTAAGACATAATAGTAGATTCTGTAAAGAAAATGTGACCTAATTTAAACTCGGTCTCTGTTTCAAGCCCAGTTGCCTATCCTGTATTTTTCATAACCAGGTCTGGAACAAGCATCAGTACGAGTTGTTCGCAGCTGCTGCAGGCAGGCACCTCACCATCGCCGCTGACGGGAGAGCAGACTCACCTGGCCACTCGGCCAAGTATGGCTCCTACACGATGCTTGATGCCGATGACAACAAGGTCATTCACGTTGAAACCGTCCAGGTATGTACACAAATTCTATAGGTGCTCCAGATTCTATGCTGCCATAAGCATATAATGTTATACTTGCAACTAGGTAAATATCTGCTGAGCATTTTTTCGGCCATGTAGCTTGTAATTTTTTTAATAATTTGTTATCATCATTACAAAGTGTGGAAATGTGAATTACAAAATCGAGAGATGTGAGTTACACCCATTTCCCTTTACTGTGACTTGGACACAGCAATGGAAAGACACGCACCTCAATGTTCAGACATTGAGGTGTACAAACTGGCATATTTTGTTTCGTTTCTGCTGCTTCATGTTGTCCTCGTTTGTTTCTTTTAGTCCAATGAAACTGGGGGCAGCTATCATATGGAGCTGGAAGGCCTCAAGAGGTCCCTCAGCATTTTTGAGGCCCACTCGTTGATTGTGGCCATCCTGGTAACCGACCGGCATCCCCAGCTCAATGCTTGGCTGGGACGAGAACACCCAGATATCTGCCACCTTTTTGATTGCTGGCATGTGGGGAAGGGTAAGATTTAAAAAGGTTCCATCTATCCCAATGAGACTATCACCAGCTTGGGCAGTGGTCCTGAAGGCAGCCTTTGGGAAAATGTAAACTTCCCCAGCCGTGGGAAGTGTTAAGGGTTGCAAAAGATATAAAATTGAGCTATCTAACTAACTAAAATGGACTATTTAAATTTCTAATTAGCAATTTTTAGGGCCATGTTGCAATTAGGGTTTTGAAGGCTGCCACCATGGTCATCTAAAGCAATTTACAAAAAGTAAAAAGAAGCAACTGGCTTAGAGATATTCACCGACAGACTTTGCACTGTAATGGGTATGATTTTCGAAATTTGATATCACTATACGCACCTGTCCTACCATACCCATTACGGCGCAGAGTTTGTTGGTGACTATCTTGAAGCTGGTTGCTTCTTTTTACTTTTTACATTACTTACTACCATGGTGGTAGCCTTCAAAATTCTTTGTTTTTGTTTTGCCTCTCTGCTTTTCAGATAACCTATTTTCAGTAATTTTTAAAAGCTTTCACTGAAAGACCTGGTATATCTAGACATAAAAATATGAACGGCGTTGTGGCAGCTTCCAGAAAAAGAAGGTCTGCCAGCTTTGGCCACGCTTTGTTGCTGCTGCTAGTAAAAAAGAGATTGAAGTATGCGTGACAGGTTCCAGCTGGCACTGGAGTTTCAAAAGAGCCTGTTGGCTTTCCAAAGGTGCCCTGCATGCATCATGTTTACCTTGTTTACAACATTTCACTTCAGGCATCAAGAAAAAGCTGGCTGCAGCTGCCAAGTCACGGCATTTAGAGGAGCTCGGGTCTTGGACAAGGGCAGTGGTGAACCATCTGTACTGGTGTGCTGGGTCAAGTGTCGACAACCAGGACCTCATCCTGCCAAAATGGAAGTCTCTGGTGGCACACGTAGTGGGTGTGCATACCCACGCTGACCCTCTCTTCCCAGAGTGTGAGCATGGGGAGCTAGAGAAAAAGTGGCTAGCAGAAGGTAAGGACAGATTTTTATTTTTGTGAGGCTTGAAATACGCTTTCTGCATTGCACTATGTCCCACGTTCTTGTTGTAGGGTCCCCTGCGCACCAGAAGCTGGAGGAGATCGTGCTCTCCACTCACCTGCTTCGCGACATTCCTCGACTGTCCACATCGGCGCAGACATTTGCAACAGAGTGCTTTCATAGTACTCTGTTGCAGTTTGCGCCGAAGCAGGTCCACTTCAGCTTCCGAAGCATGAAGGCCAGGTGTGTAAGAAATTTGGTTATTTCCTGTTTAGGTGTTTTTTTGTCATGCATATCTTGTACAGGACCTACCTCGCTGCCCTCCATTACAACGAAAATGCGGGAAGGCCCCAAGCGGTGACCAAGAAAGGAGAGAAGATGTGGGTCATCAAGTATCCAAAAGCAAAGAAAGGACCCACTGTTGCTAAGCGCAAGACTGACTGCACCTATGGTATATGCCCGTGCTCATATTTGTACGTGGCTGGTGCAGATTTTTTAATTGCTTTGAATGTCTCATTACAGAGTATGTGGGGGAGCTCATGGCAGTTGTGCTGCACCTCTGCTCAACGCTGCCATCCTACAAGGCTGCAGCTGCCCTCTGCAACCAGGATGCACCTCCATTTCTTTCTAGTGCGTATCAGCATGGAGATAAACAGGCATTGGTGCAACAGCACTGCTCTAGGTTTACTCGGTAGTCTGATGTAGGCCAAGGTTCCACTTGCTTGATGCAGCTTCTTGCGCTACGCTCCAGCTTTTTCACTTCACCGTGTTTGACCGTTCGGAAAACCTCAGCAAGAATGGGATCCACTACTGTGTTGTCGGCCAGTTCCTTTTCAGTCATGGGAGGTTTCGTCGGGGCTTCTAACATCAGTACGTTGCCTGAAGGATGTTGCTCATTGTCAGTCTCGGGCAATGGTAGTCTGCCTAAAGCATCAGCGTTTTAATTTCGCTTTCCTGGTCTAGAGATTAGGTTATAATCATAGGCTCCCAGCTTAACACACCAGCATGTCCTACTTGGTGAAAGCACAGTCGGTACTGGGGACTCCTGTCCTATGATGCCCAACAGTGGTTGGTGGTCAGTCGTTATGGTCACGTGATGCGCCGCAACTTAGCGATGAAAACGGTCCATGGCGAATATAATAGCCAGCCTTTTACGATCCAATTGGGAGTAATTTTCACGTGACGCCTTGCGACGTAGTGATGAAAACGGTGTATGGCAAAGATAGTAGCCAGCCCCTCACAATCCAGTTAGAAGAAATCCTTTTCGACCTTAATGAGCATTCTTGATGTAAAGACGATCGGTGTTTTGTTTCTATCTGAATCTAGCTGAGCTAATACTGCCTCGATGCCGTAGAGGGTTGCGTCACATGACACGCTCAAGCTTTTGTTTTTATCGTAGTGTGCGAGAACTGCACGCTGTGCAATAACATACTTTAACTGTCTAAAGGCTCGCCAATTTGTTTCCTGCCATTCACCGGGGACGTCTTTCTCTAGAAATATGTAGAGGTCTTTCGTGATTGTTGCCCTGTTTGCCAAAAACCGATCGAAAAACGCTAGAAGACGAAGAAACGACTGCAGCATTGTTTGGCATGTTGGTTCGGGCATCTCTTTGGTCGCTTTCAGTTTCTCCTCTGTCGGGTGTATCCCGGCAGTATCGATGATGTATCCGAGGTATACAACTTGTTCCACTGCAAAACGTAACTTGCACCTCTTGAGTTGAAGTCCAGCCTGAGCAAGTCGCATCAAAACTGTATCCAGTTGAGTCATGTTCTGCTGCGGTCGTACCGCTGATAGCGTCATCGAGGTATACCCCGATCCGCGGGATTTTAGGTAGTACTGCTTTCATGAATCGATAGAAAATCGCTGGTGTTGGCGGCGATCCCAAATGGCATTCTTTTTACCCTGTAGAGGCCTTTTGCAGTGTTAATGGTTAACACGTCGGCTGTTTCTGTTGTTAACTGTAGTTGTTGATACGCTTGAGCAAGGTCCAGTGTAGAAAATACCAACCTGTTTTGCAGATTGGTTAGGATTTCTGGAATCGTCAGCATAGGGTGCACTGCGGCTTTCGCCTCCTTGTTTACCGTACTTCGGTAGTCTCCACATAGCCAAATGGTCCCGCCTTTCTTTCGGACAACTACCACCGGTATAGCCCACTCTAAGTGCTTTGTCGGTTCGAAAATACCTTGGTTCTCGAGAGTTTTCAATTCAACCTCTACTGCGGTACGCAGTGCGAACGGCACGGGCTGTGATTGGAGGGAATTGGCAGTAGCGTCCCCTTTTAAATCAAAGTTTACAGGCGGACCCTTGTGCCCCGTGATCTTCGCATCAGAAACATCCTCATGTACCTTCAAAATGTTCACAATGTTGTTTCTGGTGCCGAGGAGGTGAATTCCACAGACCCTAATCTTCAGCTCTTTGAACCAGTCTCTTCCTGAAGACTGGAACTGGTTCCATGTGTCACTACCAACGACAAGATGTATTGTTTCAATCAATGCCTGACGCAAACATTCGCCTTTCCAAGTACTTGTAAAATTTCTCCTGACCAGGTATGAAGGATTATTCCCTCCTGGTTCAGTGATTGGGGCTTCGTGGGCTACAGAGGACAATACGTGGCTTCATTGATGATTGAGCAAGCATCTGTCGAATTATCTCAAATTCCAGCTCTCGGTTTTCAATCTCCAGGATGACCTTAGGCAGCATTCAGCTCATGCAGGCTCCATGACTTGTCCGAAAGATCATCATCAGAATCAAGGGTCTCATTGTCCTGTTCCACGTTGTGTGTCATCCACGCTTGGTGCTGCGCCCTTAACTTCTTGAAACAAGCCTTTTTGACATGCCCCTTCTTGGGGCAGAGGTTACATCGTGTATTTTGGAACTTGCACGAGAACGCCGAATGCTGTTCTTGGCATCGGTAGCACGTCTGGGATTCTGACAGTTTGTTTTGTCTTTCCGTTTCTACAATTTCAGCAGTAATATTGCTTTTTTGACAGCTTAAACCTAAGATTTTTGGGTTTTCAAATCTCGTTGATGTTGTGCAGCACTTTCTGTCCGCACGGCCGTGTCGTATGCTTTATGAAACGTTAAGTTGGCCCCTGCAAACAGACTCTGTTGTAGATGCTCGTCTCTTATGCCACGAACAAAACAATCTCAGCCTGACGTCGAGAGGTAGCATGGTTGGGTTGAAAACTGGTTGACTCACCGGAACTGAAGTTCCAGTTGCTCCCAAGTTGACGGAACCAGCTGTCGTTCCAGTTGTAGCCAAACCCATGCCTGCGGTACTGGAAGTTGTTGCAGCCGCCTGTGTCACTAGAATCCCAAAGTTACAATCAGCAGCTAGCTTCTTTA